AATTATGGATGGGGACAAGTAAGATATTGATTTATTTTTGTTGAAAATTGAATGAAGAATTTTAATTTTGTTGTGTTTAGGCTCTTGGAGCACCAATTCTAACTGATGATGTTAATTTACAAACATTTATGGAACATTTGAAGAAGCTTGCTGTGTCTTCATCAACGTAACACATCTGCGATCTTCTTCGTTTATGTGTGTGTGTGTGTGTGTGTGTGTATGACCCTTTATTTATCTTGTTGTCTTTTGCATTTTTACCCTTCAGGATTTTATGTTATTTTATTTAACAAATATACTTATTGTTTTCTTTTTTCGGCTGTTTTACTGGTATAAAATAAGGTTGTTCATGATTATCTATAAGTGTTGAAAGCTAATCATTCATCAAAACTATTTTTCACTTAAATGAATTAGCATGTGGATATATTTACTCAACAAATAAGTAAATTTGACTTTATCTAGCAAGATGAATGATACAATTGTGTAATAATACATTTTTCTTTTATTAACTTTATATTCTTTACATGCTTGATCAACTGTAACAATTAAGTTATCAATATTAAGTAAAGAATTTCATTAGAATTCATTGCAAGTATCATTGAATTTTTTCAAATAAGATCTTTAATTTCTTATTCATTGTAAAAGTAATAGTTAGTTTAAATCAATGATTTCATATGATTAAAGAAAAGAAATGTAATTGTCAATATTTTTATATCGAGTTATTAATGAATATTGTCGGAACATGACAAACAAACCAAGTTTCTAGTTTTTCTTTTCTCATGTAATAAAGAATGAACGTGAAAATCATAATAAAAAACGAGTAAATAGCTAAAAAAAATCCTAAGCTTAATCTAACGAATGGTAATTAAAAAAAAACATAATGTGACTGTCAAGGTCATTTTGAAATTCGACTATATAGAAACAACATGACAGGATGAAAATGAAAAGTAACGATAACGGAAGTGAGTAGTGTTGATAATAATCAAGGAGAATGGCACATATGTATATATATGCTTATTCGTTCGTTCACATTGATTATAGTGCGTGTTTTTAATCTTAAATTGCATGACGTTATGCTATTCTAACTACGTCAATACACGCATACAATCCGATTATAAACTTCGAGTTAGAATAATTTTTTCTATGGTACTATTTGGTTTATTCTTACTGATTCCTTTAGAAAAACAATAAGAATCTGTACTAAAACGTTTTATCTATGACAACTAATACCTGATCTTTACTAATAATAGTAAATAAATAAATAAGATATTAAAAAGAAATGGCACGGAAATAATTGATGTTTAGATGCATATAAACATTTTCCTATCTAATCAAGTAATACAATCTGGAAGATGATACCTTGCCGTTGGGTTTTTTTAGTATGTTAGATGTACGGATGTAATGATGATGAAAGAACTCTCATAATCACATTTTCTACTTTATGAGGCACATCGCGCTTTCTCTTGTTTTTTCTCTCTCGGTCGCTCAGTCTGACAGTCAATCAAAAAGTCTGCTATGTAGTGTATGTGTGCACACAACATAAGAGTTAATTGAAAGAGATGCTCACTATGCGTAATATAAAAAAATGAGCAAAAATAACAACAAGCAAAAAAACTCGCTAAGCTTCTTGTTTTTTTCCCTCTTTTCTTTTTTTTTTAATATGTCGATTTCACTAATAAAATTATGATTCGATTGTCGTTTAACTTTTTATATTATATAGATATATTGATATAAATGAGTTTTTCATGTATCATTTTCCTATGTCTATGTGCATCAGGCAAACATTTCGAAGTTTCCATATCGTCTTCTGTTGTCCTGAGGTAGTTCAAGCGAAAGAAAGTAGACTGGAGAGATAATCTCTAATCGGAACACAACACTTGAAGAAATGCATAACAAGAATCTATCATTTCTCCCCCTTCTCTTGCTCGCTCTCGCGAGAGCGAGTACGTCACACTCTAACAGCATTTTTCCGTTTTCCGAACTACACTTTTCTCTCCTCCTTCTCTCCCTCTCCTCTCGTCGTATGAGAAAATATAGAAAAAACTGGTAACAGTAGAAACACTACTATCAACACACATCACAAGTACGCAGACGAACACACGCACAGACTAGAAGAGAATTAACGTCAACAAATAAATTTTAAATTAGTTGAAACTAATAATAATTCATCATGCACCACGAGTTATATTTATTTATTTAAACTATGTTCTATTCATTTATCATTGTAACAATTCTTATCACAGGTAAAAATTCATTCTTCATACTTATATGTCTGTCACAGTAATAAATAAACCAATAAAAAATGACACATAGCAGATATATATATATATTACCTATCAATGATGCTTTAATTTCAACTGTATTCATAATTATTTTTAATTTTCTTGATTTTTTTATAGTAAATTGGTCTTTCGGACAAAAATGCAATCGAGAAAGAATACGTACATGGAATGCTGAACAAAGACTTATTTGTGATTTACTTGATAATTATCAAGTTAGATGGGGTCGACCTGTCAGAAATATGAGTGAAGGTGTTGAAGTACGATTTGGTTTACAACTTATTCATATAAGTGATTTGGTATGTAAAATCAAAAAAAAAAAAAGAAGAAAATGATAGCCTATATTAAGATTATTTAGGATGAAAAAAATCAAGTATTAATCACAAATCAGTGGCAAATTTATGTATGTAATAACATTAATATTTATTTTATTATCATTATTATTTATCGTTTTTAGGAATGGGAAGATGAAGCATTAACATGGTAAATATAATAAATAGAAATTTGTTTTTGTGTATGTATTCATTTTTTTTCTATTTTAGGGATCCAGAAGATTATGGTAAATACATTTAAATGATACATCAAAAACAAAAGATAAACATGACTTGTCTTGTGTTTTTTTAGATAATCTTATGGATATACGTTTACCAATAAAACGTATTTGGCAACCAGATGTGACATTGTATAACTAGTAAGTTTTCTGTTGACAAGAAAGACGAAGTTTTAGAATCCTTTCAAAAGACAAGCTCGATTAGTTATTAAACATTTGCAGTTTATTCTTCTTTTCAAAAGCGAAAACAAAAGGAAATATGTCTTCACGATATCCGATTTCATACATTAGAGAGATTAGAATTATTAATCTTACATAGTTCTGTCTATCTACTTTATCAAAACTAATCAGTTGATAACCTTGTTGTTATTTTGTTCGACAGTGCTGATACACGCCTTGAAGAAAAACGAGAAGTACTGGCGATTGTTTATCACAATGGAACAGTTTTTTGGAAACCAATGTCAATTTTTAAATCAACATGTCAAATTGATATTCGGTAATTAATAACTTTTTTTTCTTTTCTACTCTTGATAACTAACTCTTTCTATTCGTTGTTTTAGTCGTTTTCCTTATGATCGTCAAAATTGTTCAATGAAATTTGGTACATGGACATATGATAGTTCGAAGGTCAATTTAAAATTTTATCGTAATATACAAAAATTTGATCTTAATTCATATGTTAAATCCAATGAATGGTCTATTGTTGGAAATAGTGCATCACGTTATACAGAAAAATATGGTAAGGATAATGTTTCAATATAATCAAATAGCCTTTTTTTTCTTTTTTGATTAGATTGTTGTCCAGAAATTTACGTTGATTTAAAATTTTATATTAATCTTGAACGACGTGGTGGCTTTTATAATTATATTTTAATATTACCCTGTGTATTATTATCTTGTTTAACATGTATTCTTTTTTGGTTACCTGTAAGTTAACTATTTGGATAAATTCATTATTTCCTTGTTTTTTTTTTTTTTGTTTTCTATTAGCCGGAAAGTCCATCAAAACTAGTACTTGGTAAATTGAATAATTTGTTCTTTTTTATTTCAATAGCAATCTTTTTTTTGTTTTTGCTGAAAATAGGAATGAATATTTTTACATCATTTTTTGTCTTGTTACTTTTGTTATATAAAAATATGCCATCAAATGCTGAACATATTCCACGTATAGGTAAGGAATCATTTACCGGAAAGGCAATATTATCTAGGAATAAAATTATTTCCTTTTCATTATAATGGAAATTTATATCATTGGTTCATAGGTGCATATTATTGTTTAAACATGGGAATGATAGCTACATCAACATTTCTATGTACAATTGTCGTTCATATTTATTTTCGTGGTAATGGACCAATGCCAACTATATTAAGAAAAGTATTTTTCATAGTTCTATTTTTTTGGTGAAGAAAAAAACAAATCTTTTTTCTTTTGTGTTTCTTTTGATAAGATTTTTCTTGAATGGCTTGCAACATTGCTTTGTATGGTACCACATACAACTGCACATGAACAACATGTAACTCATAGTGTAGTACCACCAATAAAAGCAACATGTGACGGTGATAAATTTGAAAAATTTGAATTACTTAAAGAACGTTTTAAATCATTGGGTGAAAAATATATATTAACAACAAACGATGATTCAAATAATGAAATATTGGAAACAAATAACGATCATGAGCACGAACATGAACAACAAACAGAAGATCTTTTAACACAACAAATTCAACAACAAATAACAGCATCACTTGCATTTATGACTGTTGAAACTGATTTAAAAGAAATAAGAAATTTTTTACGTGTAACAAGAAAACGTATGGAAGATAAAGAAGCAAAAGCTAAAACTGTTAATGATTGGAAACAAGTTGCACTTGTACTTGATCGAACATTTTTTTTCATATATTTGACTGCTATTATCATTTCTCTTGCTGCTATGTTTCCTAGATAGATTTATTTGTTTTGTGTTTTCTTTTCTAGTCTATTCCTACAGCTATTTTGTTTTTGTTGCTCGGGTTAATGATATGTGACTATTGACGAAAGTGTCAAAGATATTATATGCTTATTTGTTTGCTCAATATTAATTAAAATAGATAAACAGTAAACTAAAACAAAAATGAGAAAGCAGATCTATACATATATTTAAAAAAACAAAGAAAAAGTATAGAAAATATTATTTTCACATGCCATTGGAATCAGATAGTCGATGAGCATAACGTTGATGAATACGTTTTCGAACTAATAATTCAAATGGATTAACATTTTGTACAAAATGTTTATTAACAAGTAATTTAGCACGTTCATTATTATCTGTAACTTCATCTTTTCCATTCATAACAATTGGACGTATATCTGATATAAAATATTGATGTACAGCATGCAGAAAAAAAACAATTGTTGCTAATAAAATAATAATACTAATAATAAGTAAAATTTGCATAAGATTTGCTTGATTATATTCATATTCAGGTATATTCCATGGTACATATAAACAGCTAGTTGATGAACGATAATAAAAATGTTTATTTTTATTACTTAAAAAATTCACACATATTTCATAACGACCTGGTGATAGACTATGAATATTAATTGTATTATTTTCTTTTTCATTTACATTTATTTTAACATAATCACTTATTTGTTTTTCGAAACGATCTTTTAATTGTAGTTCATGTTTATTTGTAAGATCCATTACTCTTAATGTAAATGCATAATATAAAAAGAAATGTTGTTCAGCTTCAGTTTTATTGAATTTCATATGTAACCATATACGTATTGATGTTGTATTTAATTTTTCTTGACATAAATATATATGTGGATATTTCGTTGAATTTTCAAATGAACATTTATATCCATATGTTAAAGTAAAAAATAGAAAATAATATATTAAAAAAAACATTTAACAAGATTTAATTATAGTATATACATATAAAAACTAGAAAATAAATGTTTGTTTTTCTTTTCGATATTTTTTTTATACAATCAACCATTTGCTCCAGGAAATATTAGTTCATTCATCTAAAAAAAATCTTTACTAAGAATTGTTAAAAAACAAAAACACATATTTTATTTCGTTCTTAGTTATATTAACATATATCAAATTATTTATAGGAATGAAAAAAATGTTTCATCGAGGCTCTTGTAATCGATGGCAGAAATAAGTTACACGATCAGGTAAAAGTCGATTGACTGATATCAATGCATTACCCCTCCTATGGTTTATGAAAGAGACAAAAAAAGTATTTTGATTAGTACGAAAAATAACAATTATATCTTACGAAAGTCCAATCATTTTTCGTTCTGGATTTTGGTTCAATTTTGTACGAGCACTAACTGCCATACATGCATGATCAGGAGAAGGAGTTTTATAATAATAATGATTTCTATCCAATAATCGTTCAACTTAAAATGATTTTTTTCAACATAGATTAATAAAAATAAAATGTTATTTTTTTTTCTTACATTGAGTTTGATGAGTGTTGTCATTAAACTGAAATTTAATATCAGTATTGTGTTTCTAAAGCATAACTAATGTTATTACATTTCTTTGCAAATATTTTTAATGTTTATTTACGCTAATTTCTCCAGCAGTTGGAATAACTTGAATTTCTCTATCCATATCTGCCATTTCGGTCACCATTAAACACCACTATTAGAAAAAAAATCAATTATTTATTCAATGAAATTTCCTTTTGATTATCAATCAAACCCTAATCTGATCAAAACAAAAAAAACCAAGGACTTGTTATGTGTTCTTTTATTTTAGTAAAAAAGTAGTACGTAAATAGTGTTGTTTCATGTTTATTCGAGAAACCCGAATAATACTAATATTATTTCCACACAATTCCATTAGAAAAATACTTCTCAATAAGATTTCTTTAAAAACTAAAAATCCAATATTGTGATTTATAAAAACAAAACAAATGCTTGCGAAGTTTCATTGAATTCTACGAGGAAAGTCCCTGAACTCAATACACACTTTTAAGTTGGGACTGTATGAATCATATAGACCCTAATGGATTATGAATACTGTGAAAAGAGTCCAGGTTCATAGCTTATTGTTGTTAATATATTGCGTTTTAACGGTATTTTTTGACACAATGCCGTGATCTCCCTTAGGAACATCAGCAAAACTAATTCTTAAATTTCAACATGTAACATTGCATAGAAACAAGCTTTAACAAGAATAGTTAATTGTGAAAGTATCAAATTATTAGGTCTGTTCCTGTTCTGTAATAAGAACATTGACTCTTCAAGTGTATATGAGCGATGTCAAATATACGCTGCCATTATTGTTGTATCTTGAGATAGGAACAACGAAAATATGTAAAAATTTTACGATAAATTATTTTCGTCAAGACTCGTTTCTATTCAAAGCTTCATATCGAAATTAAAAAATCAATTTTCCTGGTATTCATGAGGGAAGTCATAGCATTGTAGTAAAACATACGATAAAAATGCAACATGTTGGCAGCAACAAACTATATACCCAAACTTGTTTAGAAGAATTCATAATCCATTAGAGTCTACATGATGCACACAGTGCAAATGTGAAAGTGACTAATCAGCTACGAGACTTTCTTCGTTAAACCAATTGATTATTTCTTGAACTCTACACGTAGAGAATTGCAATAGTAACTGACAATTTTGAAATCATTTTAAAATTTTCTTAATTCAAAAAAAAACAATTTCATATTCAAAATGTTTTCTTCTATAGTAATTTTGGATATTTTGACAGTAGAGTTTATATCAATAAAACTAACAAGTATTTCAATTAACATTTTAGTTTAAATTTTTCTTTAAAGACTTTGACTTTACAATCTCATTTAGTTGTCTTTCTCACCAATTTTTGAAGATATTCTTCTGATAATAAATGTTTTTCAATTATTCCAGCAAAAGTCATACGTGAATTTCGTTGAACATAGAGTACTAATTCATTACGTTCAATTTCATCATTTTTTTCTGGTATATCTTCCCATTTAGCATGTCGTTCATAACGATCATTATCACCATGTTCAACATCATTAAAATCCAATGGATTTGAAATGGTTCTTTGTCTTGTTCGATGAAAATTTGAAAATGATGACATAGGAGGTAAACAAATAATATCGTCTTGATTACAATCAGTTTCATAATCATCTTTTTCTATAGGTACAATTGTAACTTTATCAATTGAATCATTCAAACTTGATGATTCTTTATCTGTTTTTAGAGATGCTTCGGAATAAGATCGTTCGTATTGATATCTTCTTTGTTGACTGTCAGATGATAATTCATTCTGTGATTTAGATGAAAATATTGAATTGGATTCTTCGTATGATAACTAAATCAAGAAAAATATATTAAAAAAAGCAAATGCATATTGAAATGAAATATAGTACTTGTTTAATTGAAGTAGATTCTTTTTTATAGACAGATGGTGCCATACTATTTATTACAGTTTTCTTTGGAGATGAAGTATTCCCTGTTCGATCAGTATCGAAACTAGTTGTTTCTCCAAATGAATCAGGTGAGTCTCCTTGATTAACTAGATCAAGTTGTCTTCGAATGCCAGGAGACAGTGAATCACCCATACTATTGAAATGAAAATTTACTAAAGATGTTTCATTTTCTTCGAGTAATAAAGGCATAATTATATTAATCGGTTCTGATGGCATTTGAAGATTAGAATTTGGTCTAGTCTTGGTATTTATATCATTTAAAATTGGTTGCAAACTCATTGGTTGACGAATATATATTCGAATAAGTGATACACCATTTTTTAATTTCGTTTCGGATTCTAATGGAATGTATATTTTACTTGCCTAAAAAAAAGTTATTGGTAAAATGTTTCGTTATCGAATGATTGAAACGATCGTCAAATAGATACAAGTATTAAGTGATGGTGTAAATTAAATGGAACAATATCATTTTCTTTTTCTGGGTCATTGCGATACATTTTCAAAAAGTCATTCAATAGAGAATTTTTCGTCCTACAAAAGTGTTTCGTTTGCTTTGCGAATAAAATTTTCTTGTTGAAGTAATACTTGAAATATGAACACCTGCTCAATCATCTAACTGTGATTTTCAATTTCCGTAAATATGTATCAATTTGTGTAAATCTTTGCTCATAAACACCAGCACAAAAAGTAATGCAGTTAGCATCAATGGATAGAAAAACTTGTGTTTTCCACTTCTATTATCTTCTCAAGGTTTCTGATGCTATTGTTCATTAGAAAGAAGTTTGGAACAAAAGCCTAAAGTGATGGAAAAAACTTTAACAACAACGTATTTTCCTATAATATTAATTGAGCAGCTCAAATTCAGATAGTGATTTTAATAGTCAATGGAGTTTTCTATCTAATGCATTCTATACCAAGACTGCATACAGGAACTATGAGGGAAAGCTATTCAAAAAAACAAAAACTAGACACGACAGTTTTCAGGTTTTCGAAGACTTTGTTAGAGCTATTTATTAACTATGCATGCCATTTTAGAGAACAGAATGAGGAGTTGTCGTATTTTGTACGATCTTCCCTTGACTAGTTAAAAGTACTACAAAATCCGTAAAAAATGAAACGTATCAAAAAATCCCTGAAAAACGTCTTTTTTCGGTTTCTGTAATATTTTTAACTTTTGGAGAGAATGTTGTAGAGAATGCGGCGATCCCCTCATTTTGTTCTTTTTAAAATGTCATTGTTAACATATAGTTCCGACAAAGTCTTCTGAGATTTGAAAACTACCGTATTCGGATGTATTTGAAAGCCTTGCTATAGAATACAATAGATAGAAGACCCTATTGGCTATAAAAATCTCTCTCTGTATTAGGGCCAATTACTAGATATAACAGAAAAAAAATACATCGTTGTTAAACTTTTTTCCAACAACTTAATCATAATTTTCTATGCGTGCCGGAATGACATGTTTTCCTAAGTAAGACTTAGTGTATGAAGCAATAATTCTCACGCTGTTGGGCCTGGAATTTAATTCGAAACAATATGGTGTGACTGTTAAATTGAAGAATACAAACAATTAGGTTGTATCAAAATAGAGAGAATAATCACGTAATCAAGTCAGGCAAGAATTTTTTCTTGTATTTTCCCAACTTTTACTTCATGACGATTATTCCTGCGAATTTTTCTTCTATAATTCTGAAAAATAAATCAAGGAATGTATAACTCTGTAGAGAATTCCGTGACATGCTTGCCATTTCAGAAAACAGTTGGCAAACGGAAAATTCGCATCATGTTTTGTTTGCTCTTTTAACCCAGTGTCAAAAAAACACAAGAAAATAATATTCTCTCATTTAATCTATATTATTAGTTATATTTCTATGTTAGTTAACATCTAAACAAAATGTTGAGCTTATCCATTAGTATAGTAAAAGAAAGTTTAAAATAATTTTCTATCATAATAGTTGAAGTTGGCATGGCTTGTTGCTATAATACAACTAACTTAGTTGTTAACATTTTCTTTCTTGAAAGGTCGCATTAGCATGAATAGGACTATATATTTTGTGTTTCGATTGTAATTTCATTTGTATCTATCTTACTTATATGATTCATATATATTTTTTAAATTCTTAATTCAACGAAAATGTATCAAAATGATTACCTACGAATCATCATAATCCTATAGGGTCTAGGAAAATTTTAAAATAATAAGTCTCAATATTTTTACAAATCATATTCTAAACATTATCATTATAAATTTAAGTTATATGAGAATATTCATTGCAACGTATTACTAATTCACGAATGAAAATAACGAACAATTACTTACTGGTAAACTTCGCTCTAAACTGAGAATTACTTGTAAGTAAAATGTTGTATCACTATCCAAAGTGGAATATAATATTCTACGAATTGAAAAAAAATAAATAAATTATTGAAATTTATTTATTTTAACTAACCTTTTTTCATAGGCAAAAAAACCATCTTTTATTTCATATTTCGTTTGTAAATGATTTAGAAGATGTTTAATACCTAATAAATATTGCCGATTATTCTATACAAATAATATAAAGAATTAAAGAAAAACAATGATTTTTCTTATCTTACTTTTTTTAATAGTGCATAATCAATAGCTGAAAAAAGATTTTTTATTGAACGATTTTCATTAAATATATATTCTGTGATTGGTGATAATGTTTTTTTAAGATACATATGAATTTGATTAACATCTGGATAAATCTATAAATATAAGTATTTGAAAATGTTTTCGTCTTAAGTTTTTCTTTCTTTTGGTATTCATACGGATTGTATATGATTGAATGTGCCATAGAGCATATTAAATAACTGAAGAATATGATTAAGATGAATATTTGCTTCATATGAAGTGAATCGATCTTTAGATAGCACTAAAAACTAAATAAAAAAAACGAAACAAAATGAATAATTAAATTTCAAAATGATATTCACCGCACAATGTCGTCCATAATGTTGACATATAACAAGTGATTTTTTAAAATTAAATTCCTTTGGTATAGATGAGAATAGGTCATATTTGAAATATTGTATTAAACCAATAATTTCTCCACAATCGAGAAGTTTCTGGACAAGAAAAACAGGATATTTTAGGTTAAATTGATTTTATTTAGAAAAATTTCATGAGCGAAATTAAATATATATTTATATACATAGCATTTGATTTTTTTTTCACGCAGATTATTATATAGATACTTGTCTCATTAGATCTTCTTTTGTTGGGTAAAAATAAATAATTGATTCTGGAAAAAGATCATTTTCGTCTGTTGATCCTTTTACATGGTAAAAATCGAATATAAAAAAGTAAGATATAACTTTATTTGCTATTGATGATGCCATCTAAAAATTTAAGATAATTTTTGTAGTTTGTCCGAAAAAATTGATTATTAAAATTAATAGTCATATGATGATTGAATAGAATTTTTATTTGGTAAGAATTAAATTCAAAACTTACCTAAATATAGATTAATAAACATGACATCAGTCCATGATTTATAAAATAGCTATTTCTATGAGTCATCAATATAATTTCACGAGTAAGTTTTCATTGTACACAACGAAAAGAAAAAGATGACATTTTTACTATTTCATTTTTACAGTTAATAAAACTCGGAGGTAATTGTTTATTTTTGTATTTTGTATGTTTTCTTTTACAATTGGCATCATAATTTGTTGGTTACTTCCAACAAAATTTATTATATACTGTTGAAAAATTAATGTTATCAAAGTCATTCTTCTAATATGAATGATAAATATATCGAAACTAATAAGTTTAAATTAGTGAAAGATAAAAAAAGATGAGAATTCACACAGAATTCTTTACATAGTTTTATTTGATGTTAAAAAAAAACGAACTTTGCCTTTGTTTTTTAATTGAGAAAGTGCAGAGAGCACGAAAAAGATACACTTCGAGATAACGATCCCTCTTCTTATTCATATCATGCCGTTAAAGTCTGGCCTATGTTTCAGCCACATACATATGCAATTTATACGTCAATTGTATATATATAATAAAGTATAATAGCTGGTTAATTGACTTATCTAATGAATGTATTCAATCGTCTGAACTCATACAATGGTATTATTAATTATTTAAATTTATTAACCATATCTACAATTAGCCCTACCAAAAAATTATGATCTATTTGTTTGTGTTGATAGAATTGCAAAAGTGTTTTACAATATTGAGTTGATTTTTATTCAAGATTTGAAAGGTTTACAAAAATGACTAGAAACTGATTTCCTTTTGTACAAGTAGAGACGATTAAACATACAAATTTTAAGTAGTTGTTTGTAATAAAATTTAAGACAAAAGCATTCCACATCATGCTCTATAACTGTATTACCGATCTAGTTGTAAAAATGAATATTTTGAATTCATTGTATATTTGAAGATGTCAATAGATCAATATAATCGATCTCGTGATTTTCTGAAACAAAAGGCTGAATTTAATAAGACCAAACAAAAAAAAAACATCAACACTTCAGTTTGAACAAAAAAATAATTATAGATTTGTTATTTTGGTTTTTACAAGTCTCTTATAAACGCCTCAACAACATTTTTGTTAATCACTATCTTATTCTTTCATCTAACCAGTATGTTTTCCTTCACAGAAAAAGCGAAATTTATTGTTGCATATTCGTATATTTCTTTTTTCTCATCGAACAATGTTAGGAAACGAAAAATATGAGTACGAGAAAACATTGCACAAAAGAGGAAAAAGGAACAACATTATATGCTTACATCCATATGGGGTGAAGTGGTAAATAAGCAAAAACAAAATGAAATTCTTTACATGTAATGTTTAAAAAAGTTACATTTTCTGCCGAATTATTTACAAAAAAAAAATAGAAGAAATAAATGAACAAAATTAAATTTATTTACATAAATGTTAAAAGATTTGACGAAAAATCGTTTGTACTGTTATTATTATTATTATCATTATTATTATTATTTGATGATATTGAAAAATTTAAATAATTTGAAAAAAGATCTGAATCGAAATTATTTTGTTGCAAATAATCATTATTCCAAGAATTTATATTTTCACAAGTAGATGAAGATGGAGGTGAAGTAAAATTTAAATCATCAAATAAAAGATCAATTTCATCATTTAAATCGTTTGTTAATGATAATGAAGATGGATTAGTAGGCGGAGGAAATGGAGAATCTAAATATTTTTAAATGAAATATAAAAAAATTAGTTGTTAGTTTTTCATGATTGTACCAAATAATAAGTCGTCTAATAAGTCATATGATGATGTTGATGGGGGTGGCGGCGGTGGTGATGGTGGTGGCAGTGGTGGTGGTTGAGGAGCTATTGGCAATGGCTTAGGATTAATAATCTCTGATGTTGACTGACGAATAGCAAAAAACTTTCCATCTGGTGTTCTAATATACGATCCTTGTCCAGATTTAATAAGATGAATTTTAATACCAGCTGGAATTATACTACGTTCATATCCATTCATTTGAACTTCTAATGCTAAATAATAATAAAAACTTAAGCATCTATTTGTATTAATCAAGAATCCATAAGAAATCAAAGTTAATACATAGTCAGGTGTTATTCCAATATTACATCAGAAACTTTATGATTTTTCTTCCTTCCTATCGTATTCAAGTGTAATCTTGATGGATGTTCTGATTATGTTATCATTCGAGTTTTTATCACACAATCAAACGCATTACAAATTTGACATACTTGACAATTCTGAGGGATTGAATTCAATAATTGAATACGTGGAAATCTGAAACTCAGACATTTACGGAAATATATACACAATGCATTTCTCTCTCTGAAAATGCCATAAAAATACAAATGAACAGTGCAGTATTGATATGTTTGAATAGGTCTTCAACAATTGAATTCAACTTTCAGGTTTAACACTTACAGGCGACACCAGGATTTCAAAATCAAGGGGAAAGCGTACAATAAAATGTTTCATAGAAGTAACAAAAAATTTTAAAAACTTTTGAAACTTTAACTGTTTAAAATGAATAGTTTTTAACGTTGAGAGGTAGTACACGTATGACAATCAGTAGTTTAAGTTGATATATTCAATAAAATAGATTTCAGTCAGCCAACTTTATCTAGATCATCTCACAGTGAACAATTTCTATACAACATGTAACTATAGCTTATTTGCTATCAAAAACGCATTTTTTTTCAAACGAATATTAATTTTCCATACTCAACAAAAAACCTGATGGGAAAAAGTGAAGTTGATAAAAGATGATTTTTGATGCAAAATGCATGAGGGAACTTTTATCCTATACTTTTGTTGAAAAAATTTTTATTTTTACAATTAACAAATGTTACATCACTCGATACAGTTGTTCGTACTGAATTCAAATATGTTCTTATTTTTCTCTTAAAGTACTTCTGAGACAGCATAACATGGATACTTTTTCCAACAGGAGAATTGTTAGACCAACGTTTTTCATATAGAACGATAGAGCAAGAGCTTTACATTGAGAATCTGCGCAATTTATTTTCTAAGTCTTTCTATTTTATTTGGAAAAAGATACATTCCCCTAGATAACAGAAACTTAGCCATTTTTCGAATCCAGAATTTTCCTAAACCCTTAAAGAGTTAGAATAATGTTTCTTTTAAATCAAAAATTCGATTATTGATCGAAGTATATTCGATAATATTCAAAGCGCCAAAAAGAAAGCACTTTCGTTTTTTTCGAACACATGCCCAAGTTGATGTTCATTGTGCATTCAGTCAATGACGTCATATTTGTATGAGACTTAAAGAGAGTTATAGGAAAACAAGAGTAACGATTTTAATATCTTGTCAACCTAGATAGCAAATATTTTTTTGCTCCTACTTACGACTCTGAAGCATAACTAATTGAATTGTAACTCCTTTTTGTTTTAATTCTTCTAATTTTTGATCTGTTGTTTGATAATTATGATGTATTGGATAACGAGGTTCAATTGTTGGTAAAGNTCATATCCATTCATTTGAACTTCTAATGCTAAATAATAATAAAAACTTAAGCATCTATTTGTATTAATCAAGAATCCATAAGAAATCAAAGTTAATACATAGTCAAAGAGAGTTATAGGAAAACAAGAGTAACGATTTTAATATCTTGTCAACCTAGATAGCAAATATTTTTTTGCTCCTACTTACGACTCTGAAGCATAACTAATTGAATTGTAACTCCTTTTTGTTTTAATTCTTCTAATTTTTGATCTGTTGTTTGATAATTATGATGTATTGGATAACGAGGTTCAATTGTTGGTAAAGTAGAATAATTTGAAGGTTGAATAAATTCATTTAAATATCGAGAATTATGATTCAAAAACGATGAGCTAAAAAACATTAAAAAAAAACAAAACATTGAATTTCTTTTAGATTTTTCTTTACGATCGTGATGAATTATATCTTGATCGATTCGAATATGTTTTCATTTGTTTTTCATATTGATATTCTTTTTGTGCACGACGTTTTTCAGCTGATGTTAATTGATATTCTTTTTGATCCAACAAAAGAGATTCATGTGTAAATGGAATTTTTGTTATTGATTGAGCATATTGTTTACATATTGATGTTAAAATAGGATCATTTGATATTTCATCAATTTTCGTTATTAAATCTGGTACAGCTGGTTCTTCTTCCGCCTATGATTTTTTTTTTAAACAAGAATAAAATAAATTCAAAGAATAATTCCTCGTTATTTTCTATACCGCAAAATGAATTAAATTTTTAACTTCTTTTCCACTAAATTGATTTTGTGGTTGTAATTCATCAACAACACGATCAGCCATTCCTTGTTTAGCTATTTGTCTATCATAGATACGTTTTTCCATTGTAAAATCTGCTATTAATCGATATATATAACAAGGTTTTTTTTGTCCATAACGATAAACACGACAAATAGCTTGAGCATCAAGACATGGATTCCATGACACATCCATTACAATTACTCGATTTGCACTAACTAAATTTATTCCAAGGCAACCCGCTCTGATCAAAGAAACAAAAAAAAAGATTTTAAATGAAAATTCGATTGTGAGTTTTGCTTTTACCTAGTCGACAGTAAAAACAGTTTTGCATTAGAATTCGGAGCATTAAATGCGTTTATTAATTTTTCACGTTCAAGAGCATTTGTACTACCATCAAGTCCTAAATAAGATGAATATAAAATTGAGATCATCGTCTTCTTTTAATATTTCTTATCAGAATAGGCAAAAACTGATTTATAGTTTCCAAAAATTGCATTTAACTATTTGAATATCTGGAAATCAATCGTTGGCTTTTTTCAACTTCGAAATTTTTTAGCTCTTGAAGAAGAAGATATAGAGACATTTTTTTCCGTGATA